AGCCTCCATGAGCCCATGTACATTTTTGTAGGCATGCTAGGAGTCACAGATATTGCACTTGCAACCACCATTATGCCCAAGATGCTTGGCATATTCTGGTTTCATGTGCCAGAGGTTTATTTTGATTCTTGCTTGCTTCAAATGTGGCTCATCCACTCATTTCAGTGCATAGAGTCAGGCATCCTCCTGGCCATGGCTCTGGACCGTTATGTGGCCATCTGTTATCCACTAAGACATGGTGCCATCTTCACCCACCAGCTGGTCACCCAAATAGGGGCTGTGGTAACACTCAGGGCTGCCATTCTGGTAGCCCCATGCCTAGTACTGATAAAGTGCCAGTTTCAATTTTACCATACAACCATCATCTCCCACTCCTACTGTGAGCATATGGCCATCGTGAAACTGGCTGCAGAAAATGTGCGGGTCAACAAAATCTATGGTTTGTTTGTGGCATTCACTGTTGCAGGGTTCGACCTCACCTTCATCACTTTGTCCTACATACATGCTTTTTAATCAGGTAAGGCTACTAAATTAATGAAGGTATGGGGTATTTTAACTAAGATTAATAATGTCAGAGCTTAAGGCTAGTGGACTATTCCTGAAAACTCCAGATCATAGATCATATACTGAACAATGATGGAAAATATGCATATGTGTGCAGATATTCATAATTTGATTTATGGCATTAAAATCAATGCATCTATAAAATAGACTGCATGTCGTATAAATGGGTGATACTTTGGCTTGTTTAATGGATTCAGGCTCATCACATATCAATGACTGCTGAGGATTACTATCTGTAAATCTACGGGATGTCTTGGGACATCTTTTGAAAAATGTTTTCAATGTCAATATTTGTTTATGATTAATATATGATATTATTATAATGGATTGTCAATAGGATTGTTGTTTTTAGATAACATAGTTTCTTTAGGAATAAAACTGAGATAGTATCAGACGTAATTTCTTAATGTTTTAGTCAGGGTTCAGCAACCTTCTATGAAAAGAAACAAATACATAACTTAGGCTTTGTGGGCAAAGAGGCAATTCAAAACTACTAAGTAGGTATTTGGATAGCAAAAGAGAAAACATATTTGCACAAAAATTTTAATGATGTTCAAAATGGCATAAAATATCTGGTCTAGAGTCCAGATTGTCCCATTATTGTGACCTTCAAATTATCAGGACCAGCTCCAATCTGAGACCTGAAAAGGGAAAAAAGGCAAACAAATGGGTCATTGCACGGACAAGAAGATAACCAGCACTCTCTGACCTCCCACACAGGGGCTGAGACAGTTGTAGAATACATTTTCCAATGGGAAATTGCCTGAAAAAGAAAAATATATTTTGTATTGGTAATTTTAATGATTTCTAGAAACTTCAAAATGATCCTTCAAAGAGACTGCATCAATTATGACAATGACTAATAGCACTTATATGTCTGAATCCTCAAACACTGGTTGTGATTGAGATTTTTATGCTTTGATGGTCTGCTGGGTGATTCTCTTTATAATTAGCTTTCATAAATAATGCAATAGCTGTAGCTTTTTTCCACTTGTATATCCTTTTGTTGAATTACTTTATTGTTTCATTTGATCATTTTCTGATTTGTGTTCATTTTTTATTGTGTGTTTAAAATCTGATAAAAAATATATTGAATTAATATTTTCAAGGGCTTTATTCCTCAAGAGTGATTTCAGAAGCAGAAAGGGGTCTTCATAATATTGAGTTTTGACACATCAGGTGCTGGAGTTGACTTTCACTCTTGGTGTTTGCTTTCAGATGAAGGAGCAATAACGTGTTGACCCTTTGGCTTTTTGCAGGCCCTTATCTACATGTTCAATTTAGGCAGCATAACTTGCAACATTGGCTCTTCTCCACCCTTCCTCTTCTTGGTAGAAAAGTGTCCATGGACTGCTGTAAAATTCACCCTTTAACGTGTACAAGACACTGGTTTTAAGTATATTCAAAAAATTGTGTTACTGTCTCTTCTCTAATTCCATAACATTTTTGTGATCCCATAAAGATACCCCATTCCATCACCAGGCACTAGCCACTCATCCTGTCCCCAGTTTATGGAAACCACACATCTACCTACTGACTCTATGGATTTGACTAGTCTGGACATTTCGAGAAAATATATCATATAATACATGGCATTTTATGTCTGGGTTCTTTCACATGGCATAAAGTTTTCAAGTTCAGCTATGTTGTAGCATATCAGAACTTCTTTTTATTTTTTTGTGAATGAATGTCATTGCACATATGTATCTGAGTCTACTTTTGCACCTGGCAGTCAGGACTCTGGCCACACGATCCTCTCCTCTCTGCATGGTAAGGACTCCCATTTTAAATCACACAATTCCACAAATAATATAGGCATGGCCAGGTCCTGCCTATATTTGCCATAATTCATTTAAACTTGTATCTTCTCGCTTGATAAATTTTATTAACCATTGCAGTAAAAGCTATTCAACTTCATTTCTAACACTGTTGTATTAAAAATTAAACTTTTGGGCACCTGGGTGGCTCAGTTGGTTAAGCAACTGCCTTTGGCTCAGGTCATGATCCTGGGGTCCCAGGATTATGTCTTGCATCAGGCTCCCCGCTGAGCAGGGAGTCTGCTTTGCCCTCTGACCCTCCCCCCTCTCATACTCTCTCTCTCTCTCAAATAAATAAATAAAATATTTTTAAAAATAAATAAAAATTAAACTTTTGTTTCTTGTTTTCTCTAGAACACATGTAGAATGAAGAGCTAATTCTGAAAATTTGTACTCTGTGGCTCCTATTACATTACTCTGAAGTAATTATTTTTATTAATGTAGGAGTCCTAAGGAATTGTATCTGTCACCAAATAAGGAGTCACATTGTTTCTAAAAAATCCTATTCCCCTTTAGTTCTCACGGATTTTAACTAAACAGTATCTAAGAGTAATTTTGTCTCCAACATTCAACAGCATTATGATTCTATAAGGTTCAAAAATTTTTTGCATTTCCCAAAGGTATCTTGTGGGTCATTCAATATACTATTATAATTCTCTATACACAGAGTAGTGCACCAATTTCAGAACCTGCTGACCTCCCCTCAGCTTACTTCATTCTCTATCTGAAAACTATTTCTTTTGTTTTCTCTGAAAATATTTTATTTTATTTTGAGTTCATCAGGTGCTACTCTGTTGGGTGGTTGGCATTCTGATATACTTTGTTTTCTGATTTACATATTTGTGCCATGGTTGATTTCAATCTACCATGTGACATCACTGAGTGCAGAGCTGGAAAGAAATACACACAACCAACTCCCCTAAGCCACTGTGAAGTAACCCAGTACACAAAGCAGCCATATTCTAGGATGAAGATAATTTTGTGGCAGTTTAAAAGCAAGATGGGAGTCAGAGAGTCTTTCAATGCATGAGGAATATGTCTGCTAAATAATGCCAGATGCAGTGACACAGGACAAAAACCATCTAACTCTAAGACCATCATGTCTCTTAGGCAGATGCATGTAGTGCATTCTTGTTAGACTTTTTCTTGCACCACACAGATTCAGAATCTTTTCATTTCCTCTTGATATCAAAGCTTAAAATCACAACTCCCCCTTTTTTGTCAATTAAGTAAACACTGGCCATAATAGTTCATAGCTGGGAAGTTGATATATATAAAGTGACTGGCACTAAAATCTGAAAATGCATAATATCATTTCATGAGAGTCTTAAATGAATGGGACAATTTCTTTTTTTATTTAAATGCAATTTTCCAACATAGAGTACATCATTATTTTCAGACGTAGTGTTCAATAATTCATCAGCTGCCTATAACACCAGGTGCTTATCACATCACGTGCCCTCCTTAATGTCCATCACTCATTTACCCCATTCCCCCACCCACCTCCCCTTCAGCAACCCTCAGTTTTTTTCCCAGAGTTAAGAGTCTCTCATGGTTTGCCTCCCTCTGAATTCTTAACCATTCAGTTTTTCCTCCATTCCCTTATGATCCTCTGCACTATTTCTTATATCCCACATATGAGTGAAACCATATGATAATTGTCTTTCTTTCTTTGACTTATTTCGCTTAGCATAATACCCTGTACTTCCATCCATGTCAATGCAAATGGTGGGTATACATCCTTTCTGACGGCTGAGTAATATTCCATTGTATGTATAAACCACATCTTCTTTATCCATTCATCTGTTGAAGGACATTTCAGCTCCTTCCACCATTTGTCTATCGTGGACATTGCTGCTATGAACATTGGGGTGCAGGTGCCCCTTCGTTTCACTACATCTGTATCTTTGGGGTAAATATCCAGTAGCGCAATTGCTGGGTCTAAGGTAGCTCTATTTTTAATGTCTTGAGGAACCTCCATACTGTTTTCCAGAGTGGCTGTACCAACTTGCATTCCCACCAACAGTGTAAGAGGGTTTAATTTCTATATCACATAGAAATATTCCATTTAGTTCTCTGTCAGCATGTCTATACTGATTAGTCTGAATACCTTGAGATGTTTTCATTTCCCTTCATTGGCTCATCATTTTGTATAAAAGTGTAATTGACTATTTGTGTTGTCTTAGGGCACTGTCTTGTCTTAGAAGTTTCTGAAAGGATGGTCAGTTTGGCTCCCAGTCCCCAGGGACACCAGGATTTGAGAATTTTTATTAGATGCAGATCAGCTATGAGATAAATTCTTCTGGGTTTTGAACCAATTTTGCCTGCTTTTCACCCTTGTCCCAGGCTAATTTGAAGCCCATCAGTGACTGGTGTAAAAAATCCCCCAGGTGGCTCCTATAGTACAAAACAGCCATCCTCATTATCTGAAACATCAAAAGACTTTCACTCTGTGGCTTCTACATATGTTACCACAGATGATTCCAGGTAAGTCTTTGAGCCTTAGATTCTGCACTGAATGTGGGAGAATGGAGGATTGGTTTCAAAGAGAACACAAACCCTTTTATGATCCAAGAAGATGGCAGGATGATAAAAAAGCAAGAGTCTTACAATAGTTGATTTTTCAAACATGAAGAATATTGTGATTCATGTTGCTGTTCAGAATATTTCTGAGTCAGTTAATCACACAATGGGTGATAAGATTTTAAACTAGACCTGACAAGAGGAAGACCCTAGAGAAGGATCTGGGCTAATACACACATAAACAACTGTTTCTGAGAGTCTGTCCCTGGGAACTTGAGGTTGAGATCAAAGGGTAAATGTCAGAGACTTTGTACAGGGAAAGATTTCCTGAGATTGTAGGGAGAGTAGATTTAGACCTAAATCCCTTAATTCATTTAGGTTCTGGGAATCAGAATAAGAATTGCCAGTAACATTAATGGTTCAGGATTGATGCTGAACATGACACCCATGATTGTTTTCCTGGCCCAGGAATTTCAGAGGTTTAAGATACGTCTCCTCCCTCTTCTAAAAATTTATGTATCTGTACACACAGTTGCTTCAATGATCCTTGTCATTCAGTGTTGTTGCTTTCAATCAAGAAAATCTTCGTCTCATCTCCCTTGATTTCCC